GTATCACATGTAGGTTTTCACTCTATTGTTATCAACCTATTCTTTCATTTTTCATTATAATATGTCTGGCTTTATTTTTCCTTTGCTTGTAAAAGTTGGATGGCTAGAGAAATTTACAGACAAGGAAAAATGTAGCAAGACTTACGTGATAAGAACCCTGCCATCTCTGTAAACTCTTGTTAAAGCTTTAGTGTTTCTATGATATACTACTGCAGTACTTTGAATTTATATAGCACCTGTCTGCATAAGAGCCAAGGCTTCACGTTTCTCACTTATCCTTTCACCATGCTTGTGAAATATGTAGATTGGAAACACATGGCTTAAAAATAAGGTGAAACCCAGATATGACCACAGGAAATTTCAATGATTTACTTAAGATGATCTATCTGTCCAGACTGCTGAGGACTAAAAGACCTGAAATTCTGTGCTCAGTGCTTTTCCAATAAACACTACCTCATTATAAAAAAATTCCTAAACTTTTACAAAAACATATGGTTTCTCATATTATAAAATCCGTATGCTTAATGCAGCAAAAATCCCTGTTAAGGAATTATATAAATGGCACCTCTTTAAAGAACTAACATTAGTCAAAGAATAACCCACTGGTGACCGCTTTCCCGAATAGTCATCAATTTGCCAACAAAGTATTTAGCTTGTTGCAATACAATTGCATCAAAGTTTGAAAAGTCAACTGATAACTGAAATAAGTCAGATTATGAATATTTGAAAAAAGAAATCTCGGCAAACCAAAAAGCTTGAGCTATCTTCTCTTTTTATAAACGAAGGCATGCATGGTACCTAGCACATATATCTACTCAATTAGTTATCAATATAATAATTTTAAATGACTTTCTGAAGGTCAAATTACGAGTCAATGGCAGATCCCTTTCTAGAATCTAGTTCCTCTGAGGCCAACTTCAACATAATTAGCATTTTCATTTTCATATACCAACAATGCTTCTTCATCCCTAAAACAGTTTATACACTAATATTTATCTTCCAAGTGTCAAGAATAAGGCAGAATTTTATATTATTAAATTTATCCTGAATCTTTTGAAACTGTATCACCTCCATAACGAAAATAAATTGACTCAAGTATGATGAGATCTTCTCCTAAGACTGACATTTCATGATTAGACTGTTTCCATAACTTTAACCAAACCTTTCTCATAACTAAAATCAGCTAGTCATGACCACTGGTATATAAAAGAGCTTCCAACATTGTATTGTATCCAAAAAGCCTTGAAACCTCCAACACACTGAATATACATTAAGTGGTAATCACTCTCTAGAATAATACATACTCAAAACATGACCCATCTGATTTCTTTTAAATGACTTTTATTATTTTCACAGCTCAAAAATTTTGCCTTCTGGATCATTCTTCACCAAAAGGAAAATTGTCATATGAGCAAAGACGACATGATTCTAAAAACAGTTACCCCATGTTGTCATGTATTGAGAGATATTCATTTTCAAATTTTATTTTATACCAGCTACTTTCGGAATCTGTACCAAACAGCAAAACAGAAACAGTTCGGCTTATACATTCCACATGGATTATATTAGATCAAACGCAGCAGCAAACTCATGAATTTATCATATGTGCTAAGAATACTGTCAGTACATTTAATGAAAATCCAAGCAGAAATAATGCCTAAAACAGAATGTAAGATAATGGCAAGTGGACTTTCTTCTTGTGCCCTCTTAGCATCACCAAAAAGAATCACTTTGGTGCTCAAGCACCATGGCCAAGCTGCCCTTTTCTTTTCAGTAACAGGATTCTGTTCGCCTGGGAGAAAAATCTCATTGAGTTTCTGACAGTGGCTTGGATACTGACATTCTGCCATTACAAATAGTCACAGTCAAAGTCTAATGTGCATGTAACCATCTGTAGAAGAGGCTTAATCTCACCCAAATTATTACTCACTAGTTTTAATTAATCCTTCTACCCAAAATGCCATAAGCCTAGCCATTTTTATCAATTGAATCTAAATGGTTACATCAGACTAGAGACTTTGGACTTCAACACTGAATCACCTGTATTAAGGCAAAGCACAATTTATTTATTAATAGCTCCTCACCCCAAGTAAAGGAAGGGGTTGCTATCAGCTAGATCTAACAGAAATTAAGAATTTGACTCCCAGTCCCCTAATTTTAATAAAAATTTGGGCTCATAATATCATACCACCAAAAAAGGAAGTCAGCAATATTGGGGGTGGTGTTCAATGAGTAGGCATCACAAGAGAATGAAATGCTGTGGACTGGAAGCCTAGCGATGATTCTGTTTGTTAGCGATGATTCTCATTGAACACCGCTTAAAAAAGAACTTACCCCCTTACCACTTTAACCTAGTTGAGTGGTAATAACTCCCCTGTTTTGAGGTTAAACATTTGTTATTTCAATCTAAAATTATATTGTCACCTCACTTCCACTAGAGGGGCCTATCCACCAGTGTAGTTAACTCTAGAAACTCAGGTGCACCTTAAATCCATTTCCAGCTAATCTGTGCCACAAGGCTAGCCTTGGGGTCAGAACTATGGGCTTTAAGGTTGTTCTAGTTTTCAGGCTCAGAAACAAAAAAAGAAACAGCAAGAAAATGGAGTGCTCCAGTCATTCAGAGGCTGCGGCAGGAGACAAAGGGTTTTTGGGTAAAGAATACAAAGTCAAAATCTCTTAAATATTTTCTGCCCTAGTTGTTTTCAAGGCTGAATATGCATCAACCAAGTCCTTTTTTTTTTTTTTCCCAGATAAGCAAAGCTTTTAAACTCCAGACCTCAGAGGCTCCTCTCCCTCTTCTATACTCTGTAATCTATAATCTGAATAGCCAAATTGCCACGTTTTCCCAGCAGCAACCTTAACTTGGGCCACGTGGGCGGGTATAGGTCAATATGGGAAAGTTGTTTCAGTGCCCTCTCATTATTCTACCACACCATTGACAGGCAAAAACTCAACCAACTCGATGTATCAAATTTACTATCCACTGTTCTTGTGCATGATTTCTAATCCAATTAATTCATAACCACAAATAACTGATGGTTAATTGTAGTCAAGAGGCTATCTACTACCTTTATGTAGATGCCTAAAATAGAGAACAGGTCAATTAAAATATAGGCCAGACCAAGGAATATGAACAGAGCCTTACTTTTTAACACTATCTTGTGGGATATAGCTTCAAAGCTAGCATTCAGGGACAAAATGGGGCATGACTAAAAGGATGGCTTCCCTAGAAAATTAATAAGATGCTTTTTAAGTTTAGAAAAACCATGAGATTGAAGAACAGAGGAGGCATATGTCCCAACTCATATATATTTCAAGCCCTTATTTTAAAACAGCTCCTGTTTTTATTTTGGATAAAAGCCGAGCACCCAATTCCCTTTCTGGTCCTCTCATCCAAATCCTAGTAGACTTCCTTGATTAGAAGCTAGTTCACACTCCTCCCCACCTTTTTTCAAATGTAGAGGTGGTTTTTGGAATATAGGCCTCAGCCATTACATTCCAGCTTTAAAGTCAAAAGCCGTCATGTGACCATCACATCAGAGACTTGGGGCACGTGATTCCAATTGGTATGTGTGGGGCTGCAGCCACTTAGCTGGAATTCACCATAAACTGCATCTCCAGGACCAAGTTTAGGCTCCCCAATCCATTGTGACATCCAACAAAGGGGAGTAAGTGCTTGCCTGTCAATAGTTTTTTACTTTCCCCTACATTTTCTACTTACTGTTAGCCAGGCTCCCTTCCCTCCTCTCCATCCGTCTTAACAGGTTGGGCGTCCCCAACAACCGGTCTGAAGGATGCTAATAGGCGAGGCTCTCCAACCCACTTAGTTCCAAGCTCAACCCTCTGCACCACTGGGGATATCTTGCAGCTCAGGTGAGAGGCAAGGAGCATCGCGTAAGGCAAGAGTCAAATGCCATTAAAACCACTCCACGTCCCGGGCAGGGATCATGTCGCGTCAGAACCGCCAGCACACTGAAGCAGTGACGACGGCGGTAGCAACTTTAGGACTGGCGAGAAGCCGCGGGGCGGGGGGGTCAGCTTCCCGGGGCCTCTCATTAGAGCGCTTAAGTACTGCGGGTAGAGAAAAGTAAACACAGGCAAGTGCAGCTGTGCGGGGAAAGGCAGGGAATATTACCTCCCTCCCGTCGACCCTCCGGTTGAGGCGCTCCGAGAGTCGGGAGAGGTCCGGGGCTGCCGCACGCAGCCGGGACCGCGCGCCCTGGGCCGAAGAGCCAAAGGAGCTGAGAAAAGGACAGAGAGTGCGGGACAGGGGAGAATGGAAAGGTGCTGCCCTACTAGCCCAGAGATGTTCTGCTACTGAAAGAAAAAAAAAGTGCTTACTCATAGGGAGACGAGGTGCGCTCGCGACGCTCTCGCTAAGGACAAGGGAGAGAAGCAGGCGGAAGGCAGGCAACCCAAGCCTCGTTCCTTCCCTCGGCCACAGTCCCCGCTCTCCAGAGCCCCAGGGTCGGCTTAAGCCCGCCAGGTCAGCCGTGGCAGGTTTGTGGGGGCTGGAGTAGTGGCAGGCTGCTGGCTCCGGGATTTCCTGTGCTCGGGCGGGAGGAGAGGGGGGGATGGCAGTAGCTGGAGAAGGACGACAGAGGGAACTTATGCGCTCCGTTTCCACTTCGGGGCCTCAGCCGCGGAGGGGGATCAGGGAAAGGGTTGGCGTCTAGGACTCGAGCCCAAGATTGGCAACAAGTTAAGAGCAACTAGTAAGAAAGCACCGGTTAATACAGTGAAGAGCAGAAAATGTGTTTGTGGCGGGTTCTTGTAGGGAAACTCCCCGTCACTCACACCCATTTCGGTAGCGAACGATCGCCCGGACGCCCAAGGGCTCCAGCTGAAATTTCTCCGACCTTCCTCTCCCCCCCATCCCAGCCCCGCGGGCGAGACACGTTCCTGCTGAGCTTAACGGAGATGCTCTCCCCGGGACCCACTCCTGCCCACGCCCAGGAAACCCAATCCCCTAGTGCCCGCCGTTGCCTACAAACACTTACGTAAAGTCACAGAGTCCAGGCTCTGGCCCGACTGCCGCCGACCAACGCACTCCGACAACTTCTGCCCCTCGTAATCTTTGCGGCAGTGGTTCTAAAGCCAGCGCTCCCTCTCCTCCTGCCAGCCCCCTCCGCCCCTCGGCCGCCGCTATTGGCTCGGGTGGTGCTAGCAGTCGGCCTGGGAACCTAGAAGGGGATTGGACCACGAGCCTGTCACATCAACTGGGTGGGGATCCGGGAAAATAGGCACGAGGATGGGCACCCAGGAGGGATAGGGACTGTAACTTTGCAGCAAGGAGAGGAGAATGGTCCGCAGCGCCTGAGTATCCCCTTCCTACTTGGGCTAGGAAGAGGTTTGAAGTTTAAAGTGCCTGGCTCGGAGTACATATTCACAAAATCTTGTGGGATTAATAAAAAGATGAAAATGCTTCCTATATAAAGTCTATGGGGGAGGAGGTACGGTTTCTCCCAGAATCGTGAGAAGAATCACGGCATGTTGGGGAGCATTCCTAGTTACAGCTGCAACAATCAGTCCAGGTGCCAACCGTTGCAGAGGAAAACATCAGCAATCATTCCTTCCCTTAAGAAGTCAAGTGAGAAGAATATGGGCAGGGCAGGACCCTTAAGCCTTTGGCCTCATGCCAAGCAAATTGTTAGCCCACATCATCTGTCTGGTATGTTTGTTCATGCGGAGAGAGGTGAGAGGAGGTGGTTGGAAGTACCTTGGTTCCACTTTTTTGACCTGAAATGGGTATCAATTCTCATCAGTCCCCTTTCACCAGAGAAAACTTGTAGACGTGTTACTGTTCCCCAGAGTGCCATTTCTTCTCCTTCTCGGCCCAGGAGATGGCTTCCACGTCTTAGCTGACCTCTTTCATTAATACACGTGGAGGTTATCTGCATTCCAAACCTATGGCTCATCGTAGATCCAAAATCAACTCCCAGAGCCACAGTTTGAGGGATTCTGCAGGGTCAGGTCAAGAGACTGACTTGTGGGATCCCTGTAGAAGAAAAAGTCTAAGCCCTTTTCTGTTCCAGTCATAACCATTTTGTTCAGGAAATATATGCTTGGGAAGTTCTGTCAACATTTAAAATTAGTTCAATTAAGTTGTATTTTACATATACCAGGAAAAAATGCTAAGAGAGGCTTTAAATTTGAATGTCCTTGAAAAGTAACCCCTATTTCATCTGCCATTGTAAATTTCCTTAGAGAAATTAATCTGTAGTGAGTGCCAAGGCTTCTGAAAAGGGAAGGACTTGGGGAGTTCGTATATTGCCTAAAGGCTAGACTAGCAGAAGACTTGGCACTAGGAAAAAGCCTTGTTAAATATTAATTAATGATAACCAACTGGAAGAACTTATGAAAGGCACAGGAAGGTGAAAAAGGAATGAGAGGGCAATCCTGCTTTCACAAACATTGAATTTGTGTTATGGGAGATTTTCTACTTGTTCAACTTTGAGTCAGCACAAAAATAGTGATTTCAATATGTTGGTGTTGTATTGAACATGGAGTCAGTGCGTTGCTACACACATTTACAGTAAGCTCCCAAATGAGATTTCTAGCATTCAGTAATTTGTCCAAGGTTTGGTATGACTTCTGGAATTCTTTACAAAAATTTTCAAGATACAGGAAATAGGCCCCTTCAATTTTCTACCTTTTATGGTGTCTGTCAGTCACCACTGAAGAGCTTCCACCTGCTCTTAAACTGAAAATTACAGACTGAGCAATAGCATGAAGGGACTCTTTAAGCTAAATTTTCCAGTGCAGATATATTTGCCTCCATTACATTGTATTCAATTTTAGTTTATTTTTCCAAATCTAGAATTTTAAAGTAAAAATATTAAGAATCCTATGTATATGCTATTTACAGTTCCAGTTTTTTATTCAAAAAAGCTTACATGGGGCTGGATGAGGTGACTTATGCCTGTAATTCCAGCACTTTGGGAGGCTGTGCACTGGGAGGATTGTATGAGGCCAGGAGTTCAAGACTAGCCTGGACAACATAGCAAGACCTCATCTCTACAAAAAAATAATAATAATAATAATAATAAAATCTGTAAAAAGCTCAATAGAAACTGTAATAAAAGTCTTCATTCACCACTAACACTGAGAATGTCAGAATTCAGTCAAGAAATGTCATTTTAATTGAAATGCAATAGTCCATAGTTTCAAAGCAGCAGAGTACCTAGCTGATGGCATTACTTCTCATTGTTTTAGTAACTTTCCAACAGATAAAACACGCCCTAAACACAGAAGCACCTATTGTGATGCTAACTGAGATTACTGTTTAACAAGCTCCACTATATAATCCACTATATATAAGTACAAATGAAAACCATTTTCATTCCTGGGAAGTGTTGAAAGAAAAACTTGAGACAAATTGAATTTAACATAGTTTAATTGAGCCATGAACGATGGGGCAGCCACCCAGAACCAGACTAGCGCAGAGAGACTCTGGTTCTGCCACATGGTCAGGGAGAATTTATGAATAGAAAAAAGAAAGGTGACATACAGAAAATGGAAGTGAGGTACAGAAACAGCTGGATTGGTTAGAGCTTGGCATTTGCCTTATTTGAACTTGTTTTGAACAGTTGGCTGCCTTTCATTGGCCAAAATTCAGTAATTTGTACAAGAGAGGGTTACAGTGTTTTTACACATCTGTTTAGGTTACAGTTCACTATGTATGGAAATATCTTTAGGCTGAACTTATGTAAGCAGCTTAGGCTAAACTCTTTTTTTTTTTTTTTTGAGGCAGGGTCTTGCTCTTTCACCCAGGCTG